AATTCCCACCCTCATGGCGTCCAGCGCCCCCCGCAGCCGCTCCCGCTCGGCCACATCCGGGGTCAACTTCACCAGCTCCTGGGGACAAAGGTCAAGGTGTGTCCAGGTGTGTCCTGAGCGTGTCCCCAGGTGTGTCCAGGTGTGTCCCCAGCTGTCCCCATGTGCCCCCCCAAGTGTGTCTCTAGATGCCCCCCAGCTGTCCCCAGGTGCGTCCCCAGTGTGTCCCCAGGTGTCCTCAGCTGTCCCAGGTGTCCCAGGTGTGTCCCCAGGTGTCCCCACACATCCCCAGGTGTCCCCAGGTGTCACCTGGAGCAGCAGGTGATATTTCAGCACCCTCTGCATGGGCACCATCAGCAGGTCCCGCAGCGAGAAGCGCCCGTTGTTGGCGCGCTGGGAGCACTCCTGGGGGGGACGGGGTCATTGGGGTCACTTTGGGGTCATTGGGGTCACTTTGGGGTCAGTTTGGGGTCACTTTGGGTCATGGGGGGACATTGCCGGGGTCATTGGGGTCATCAGGATCGGGAGAGGGGATTTGGGATTTTTTGGGGCCCACCCGGAGCTTCCTGGGGAGGTTTGGGAGGGGGTTTTGAGCCATTTTGGGTGACTTTGGGTGATTTTTGGAGGTTCTGGTGGGGGGTTGGGATTTGAGGGGTTCATGGGAAGGATTTTGGGGTGTTTTTGGGGTGTTTTGGGGCTCACCTGCAGCTTCATGCGCAGGTCAGTGCAGGTGGACAGTTGGTCCAGGCGCCGCGCGGCCGCTTCCACCTGGCTGCAGTAGCGGCCGTAGAGCAGGAACCTGGGGTGGACACCCGAAATCAACCCAAACCCACCCAAAATCCATCAAAATCCACCCAAATCCTCAGAAATCCACCCAAAATCCACAGAAATCCGCACAAAATCCATCAAAACCCACCCCAAATCCATTAAAACCCACCCGAAATCAACCCAAACCCATCCACCTGGAATCCACCCCAAATTCATCGAAATCTACCCCAAATCTGCAGAAATCCATGCAAAATCCATTGAAATCCACCCACAATCCACCCAAAAATTCACCCAAAATCCACCCCAATCCCACCCAGGACCCTCCTAAACCCCTCTAGGTCCCCCCAAATCCTCCCCAAGACCCTCAAATCCTCCTCAGGATCCCCCAAAACCCCCCCCAGGACCCCCCAAAATCACCCAAAATC